TCTCAATGTGGTATGCCGACCTCAGTACCATCCACAAACTGTGATTTCTTTCTTTCTCAGGAATTATCTCCTAGACAAATATGTTTTTTTTAAATGCTTAGAAAACATGCATCAAATAGAATGTATTTTTACCACTATTTATTCTGAGTGTAAAAGGTATCATTAACTGCTAATGAAGAGTTATTTTAAGCAGAAGAGGCTGTCCTTTTAAGAAGTATTTAGCATCATCAGACACACATTTAGAGCTGGAAGAGACCTTAGAAGCCATCAAGTTCAACATCTTCATTTTACAGATGAGGAAACTGAAGTACAGAGAAGTTAAATGACTTTCCCCAGAGTCACACAGTAAGTGCATATGAGGGAGGATTTGAATTTGGCTTTTCCCCGTCTAGTGTTCTATCTGCTATGCCACCTCGGGGTAAATTCTACTTCAATATAAACGACATATTTTATTCCCATTTTACCCACCTCTACAGTACCCAAATTACAGTAAGCAGCAAGATAAGCTGGGTTTCTTAAAAAACAATTTTTCTCCGAGTGGACTCAGCCTGGACAGTGGTGAGCTGAAAAGCTACCAAGACCCATCTAAAGCCCAGTTTCTGGAGTCTATCCGCAGTGGGGAAGTACCTACAGAGCTACGAAGGTTATCACGTGGGGGACAGGTCAACTTGGCCATGGAGGACCATCGAGATGAGGACTTTGTAAAACCCAAAGGAGCCTTCAAAGCATTCACTGGCGAGGGTCAGAAACTGGGCAGCACTACCCCTCAGCTATTGAACACAAGCTCTCCAGCCCAGAAGGCAGAAAATGAAGCCAAAGCAGTTCTTCCACAGCAACTGATGAGTCAGAGCCCAGGACCAATACTCAAATCCGGCTTGCTAATGGCGGGAGACTGGTACAGAAGTTTAACCACCATCACAGGATCCACGATATCCAGCTTTTCATTGTCGATGCCCGGCCAGCGACGGCAGCCATGAGCTTTCCAGACCTTGAAGGAGGCCAACCTGCTCAACACTGTCATTGTCCAGCGGTTGATAGAACACCTGCCCTCTCCCCCCATCGTCTTACACACACACTCTCCTTCTCCTCTTGTTTCTGTCCACAGCTGTCTGCTGCATGCCTGCGTCACTCTGCCCTATGTGTGCACCGTGCAGCGCGGTGTCACGCCTCCCCATGGCTCTGGGTTCTGAGATCTCGGTTGGACATTTTGTTTTTATCTTTAGTTGCATTTACTGGGTTTTTGTGATGATCAGTGAACTTCAAAAAAAATTTAATAAAAACAAACAAAAAAATTTGAAAGAAAAAAAAATAATTTTTCTCCATGCAAAGAAATCACAAGTAAATATATTAAATAGAACACTTGGGTTTGGAATCAGGAAGACCTTGGGTTCTGGTATCACCTCTGACACTTATTACCTCTGTGACACTAAACAAGTCATTTTAACTCTATGTGCACCAAGTAACTCCATAGAATTTATTTACTGTTATATATGGTTCTGAACTGCTCTGCAGGAGGGAATTCCCACACCAGGAGTTCCCTATGTTGATGAAATCACAGATCCTTTGCTATTCTCTTCCCAGTAAGACAGTAATAAAATAAGAAAACTGTAAAATCTAGGAAAATACTATCGGTATTACAGCCATAAATACTAACAACTGTTTACATAGCGATGCATACCTGAAATACCTTAGCAGCTCAAAAACTCAAGAATTGTGTGGGTGGATTATGTAGGGAGATAACAAGGCAGAGTTGGAAGGAATGCTTCCTTTAGAGTCAAAGGACTCGGATTTGAATACCTGTTCAACCACTTTTCTGCCAGTGTTACCTCAGGCAAGTCTCTTCACCACCGTAAGTCTCCACTTCCTCATCTTCAAAATAAAGGGGTTAGACTAAAGGACCTCTGAGGTCTTTTTGAGCTCTAGATCAATAAAGGTAGGTAGCAGATTCCTCCCCTACAAAGAAAACCAAGGCTGTAAATTATTAACTCTAAATCTTAGGGCTGTTGAGTTGAATACTTCAGCCCTCTCCTCCAAATTCTTTTTACCAATGATCAAACACTCAGAGCATTCCTCCTAACATGTAAAGTGATGTGTCAACAACAAAGATACTTTCTATTGACAGCCAGAAGCTATCCTTCTAGTCTAATTAAAAATGAAACAAAACCTTTCCAAAGAAGCAAATCTCCCTTGTCATTAAAGGAAGCCGACCTGGGTCAGGTGTCTCAGAAATGATCAATGTGATGACTGGTTCTCCGGTTAAAATATTCATGAGTGAAATTTCCCATGCCCTGTTTCCTTTGGAATGTTTCTTAAAAGAGTCCAGGAAATAAACAAAGGCCAAGAAGAGTGCTGAGGGGACCTGTGTATTTATTTAATCCATAGCACATGGGCTCCAAATACTGAAAAGGATCACCCTCTCAGAGCACTCCCTCTCTTGAAGAAAAAATCTTTAAATGTGAATCAAAAGAAAAGACCATCAAATGGTCTGCCAGTGATGGGTTCAAAGGATCAGTTTTCTAAACTTGGGCCATCCCCTGGGGGATGGATATAGAGGCAACCTAGTGTTTGTAACAGACACATCATCCCAGCTGCAGTCATCCCAGCTGCACTTCATCCACTCTAGGTGTATTATCTAATGCCTGCAAGATGAAGAATTCCTGTACTAAGTCAAAGGAAACTACAAAAAAACTACAAAGCACATTATTTTTCAGTGGAAGGTTATAATAATAGACATTGGCACTGGTAGGGGGAAAAGTACAGGAGTTCCAGTAGAGAGACCTGGAATTGGGGCAGCTAGGTGGTGCAGCAGATGGAGCACCGGCCCTAAAGTCAGGACAACCTGAGTTCAAATCTGGCCTCAGACCAAACACTCGACACTTACTAGCTGTGTGACCTTGGGCAAGTCACTTGACCACAACTGCCTTAAAAAAAAAAAGGAAGAAATCAAGTCTACTCTGATATTTAATACCTACGTAAACTTGGGTCAAGACATTACATCTCTCTGAGCCTCAGTTGTTTCATATGTAAAACAGTGATTTAAAAAATTGTACTACTTACCTAACAGGATTATTGGGAGGAAAAGGCCTTATAAACCTTCAAGTGTGAGTTTATTTTATTTTTTTAGGCAATTGGGGTTAAGTGAATTGCCCAGGGTCACACAGCTAGTACATGTCAAGTGTTTGGTCTGAGGCGGATTTGAACTCAGGTTGTCCTGACTTTAGGGCCAGTGCTCTATCCACTGTGACACCTAGCTGCCCCTTAAGTGGGAGTTTATAAATGCTCACTAAGAACTTACTCTATCACACCTATCACCTGTGTGACACTGGGCAAGTCACTAACCCTCTCTGGTCTTCAGTTTGCTCAATAGCAAAATCAGATAGCTGTACTCAAGGAGCTCTAAGATCCCTTAGATCTAAATCTAAGATCCTATGAACTGATGAAAAAATATTCTAAGCAAGATTAACTACTAATTAAAACTGGATTCAGGACAATTAGCCAATGTCCAAAATAGCTTCCTCCATGACAATGCAACTATTTACTTGACAACTACTTTTCCTACTTTTCCAAAAAAAAGAAGAAAAATAGGAGCAAGAGAGAAAAAACCACAACATAGTATAAGGATATTATATTCTTATTACAAGATAATATCATGACCTGACTTCTGATCTTACCTAATAAAATAGATTATTCCTAAGAAGTCTATTTGATTAAAATAGATTGAGGCTGAGCTAAGCACTACCTTCTACCTAAAGCCTTTCTGGTGCCCAACCCACAAGAACTTCCCCCCAAATTATTTTGTATCTATTTTGTATCAAATTGCATAAGGTTACAAGTCATCTAGTCAGACACTCTCAATTTATATAAGAAAACTGAGGCACAAAGAGGGTGACTTCCTCAAGGTCACACTGGATCATGTGGCCAAACCCAGATTCAATTTCAGGTAATTTACCTCCAAACCCCAGTACTTTATGCAAGTCTCCCCTATATCCCCTCAGATCATAAGCTCATTAAAGGCAGGCACAATCTCACTTTCACCTTTACGTTCCTAGTGGCTAACATAGTGCTTGGCACATCATTGCTGTTCAATTGTGTTTGACTCTTTATGACGCCAGTGGCCAGAGTATGCCATGGGGTTTTCTTGGCAAAGATACTTAAGTGGTTTGCCATTTCCTTCTGCAGTGGATTAAGGCAAACAGAGGTTAAGTGACTTGCCCAGGGTCATACAGCTATTAAGTGTCTGAGGCTGGATTTGAATTCAGGTCTTCCTGACTGGAGGTCTAGCACTCTATCCACTGAGTCATCCATCTGCCTCTGCTTGGCACACAGTGGGTGTTTAATAAATACCTGTTCACTGATTTCAAGTGGTGGTGAGCAGTCATATTACACGTTACCCTTAAAATTTTTTTCCAGTCCCAACTCAGGCCCACATCCAATCTCTAATAAAGGATCTTACTAAATTAATGTCATTGCACTCCCAGTAAAAAAACAAAAACAAAAACAAAACCCCACTCGATTAGATTTTCCACAATCCAGAATGACCTTTTGCTGCCATGGCAACAAAACTGACCTACCTGTGGCTATGGTCTGCTGAGAACTCCTCCTACCAGCAAATACAGTAGCATGCTTTCATAAAGCCAAACACCACCACAACCAGAAGCAAAAAAATGATGCCACTGGGCTGATTTTCCATCCTGGACATAAATAATCAGTGTGAGGGCAAAAAAATAAACCACAATCACCCCTAACCAACATTTTACATATCACCACAAGTTGCCATCTTCTAAATTACATTTGAATAATTTGGTAATTGTCCCCAAAAAACTTACTTTAACCAGGAACACACAGAATATCGAGATATTTTGAAACAGATAATTTACCACCAGTTCCAAAAGCACTTGTTTTCTTAAGTACTAGTAATGAATACATGGAAGCAAAGAGAGAAATCCAGTCCTCCATGCACTTAATGTGATTCACCAACCAGTTGTTTCTTGGCTACTTACTCGGACTGGGGGGCTCCTGGCCTGCACCCGTTGCTGTCCACCTTGGGACCCTTGAGGCTCTTTTGAATTACAATTCACAACAGCACTGCCCTGGGCCCTCAGAGCATTTGTGCAGTTAATCCCGATACTGGTGCCCGATTTCCGAGGTCTCTGCTTGATTCCATCCAACAGCCTAACCAACAGGATGTTACTGGGTAGCTCCTCAACTCCGCAGCCCACCAAAGTCCTGCATTCTGGACATCTCAGTTCATTTCGAGAACCAACAATCCCCAGCAAACAGCGTTTGCAAAATGTGTGCTGGCAAGGCAAGACCTTTGCAGAGGCATCGAGTCGTTCTAAACACACAGGACATTCCAACAGATCCAACAAGGCAGATTCATCCATTTTTATCTAATTTACTGAGAAAGAAGCCTTCATAGCTGTTCACCTCCCTTCAAGTGATTCACGTAACATCCATGCCTGTTCAGAGTCTCCTCTGGAATTGGTGGGTAGGGAAAAAAGAAAAATACATAATTAATGTTTCGATCTGGAGAAATAATTTTAAAATGAGTTCACTGATAAGCATCATAACATAGTAGAAAGAACACTATGGTCCAAAGATCTGGACTTATGTCCTAGCTCTAACAAGCTTACTTTCCTTCACTAGTCAAGTGTTTACTTTGTAAGAAATTTAACTGAATAAAAGAAGCTGACTTTAAATTATGGTGAATCACTACATTATTAGTTTAATTTAAAATTAATAAATCACTATGGTCCTGGGAACCTCATTGGCTTTCCCCAGCCTCAGTTTCCTCATCTGCAAAATAAGAGCATCAGATCAGATGATCTCTAAGTCCCTTCCAACCTGAGCAACACATGGATCTATAGAACAATGGCCAAGAACCAAAATATTCAAAAATATTTTTAATAGAGTCTGCTTTGCTCCCGAACACTGTTCCTACACTGGTGAGTCAATCATTTTTTAAAAGATTTCTACACAATTCAAAAATAATCCCTAAAGCTATTTAGAAGTATACTGTTTTGTAATAGTCATTAAGTGCTTATTACAGAGGGATTTCTGTAATAAATGCAATTTATGAAAGTAAATAAAGATAATTTCTTTGACCATCAGAGTATTGTTAACTGCCGTACTTGGCTCAAATGCAAAGCTAAACAGAAGCCAATTTAAAGTTTTCTTTACCTTAAATTACTGTTAACATCCAACAAAGCCCCAATTTTCAAAACACTTTAGAGTTTAATAAATTTTGCTGCTTGTGATCACTTGTGGCAAACTGGCTCCAGTATCAGATATGTTTCTTCATGAGTAAGGGAACTCCTAAGATGGAAACTCCCTCCCCTGATGCAGATCTTCCACTTGTCTGTAACTTTTAGTCTTAGAGGTTTGCCTGGAATACTGAGAGGCTATGTAACTTGCTTTAGGAGCAAGACAGTATGTAGCAGAGACTGAACTTGAACCCAGGTCCTAGTGAATCCAACACCAGTTAACACCCAGTCAATATGCAACTCTGCAAATCAATTGTTTCTTATCTGGTCTTAAAAATGAGGTGATGTAATATTTCTTATAAAAAAGAAAGCAAAATCAGTGTTGTAAAATAAGGGGCTGGAACTTAGATGATTATAAGGTACCTTCCAACTGTGGATTCTATGACCAAATTCAAAGATATCCCTAAAAAGGCTGACTTGAAAGTTTCTAAAATATAAAAGCAGCAGTAATTTACACCAATCTCCACCTCCTGAGCAGTCATTCATAAACTCTCAAGTACATAGATTTTTTGTTTGTTTAAACCGCCTGCCCTAATTCCATTCAAGACAACAGGCAAAAATAATTGTGAATGTGACAATAGGAAATCTTTGCCCAGAAAGCTGCTGGCAGAATAGGAAATTTGACCACTCAGTAAAAAAAGGTCATTACCCACCTTCATCTCCTCACTTCCCTCACGCCAAAAAGAGACAATCTCTACGGATTATTAACTCTGACTCAATATAGGAGAGACATACTATATAGAGGCAACCCATCCATATCTCTGTCTTTCTCCAGACACAGCCCACAAGCAAGGTTGTTTGGGGCATAGCGTGGCCACTTCCAAGTGGGAAAGGTCAAGGGCTAACGCAGCCAAGGCAAGGGAATGGGGGAAGTGGGTATAGAGGAAACTAGCCACGGAATATGGGTTTTATTAAATAGAATCCACTGTGCTCGCGCCTTTCGGTTGGGGCAGCACACACACACACACACACACACACACACACACACACACACACACACACGCACGCGCTAGAGAGATCTCTGGAAGTTTTCAAGGCTTAAAAATAAATGCGTAGCCTTAAGTTGGGAAACTAAGCTCGGCATGAGAGGGCAAAACAAGAAAAACCTATTAGAGAAAGAAAGGGGCGGGAGAAATAAAGAGATACCAGTCCCCACAGAAACAGATTTCTCCCGGTGGGGGGGTCCTGGTGATCGGGTGGAAGCTAGTCAATCCCAGGGAGGATCCCGTCCCCAAGTCTGGCGCCCGAGCCACGGAAGCCCTGCAGCAGATCCCAGACCTCGCCAATTCCCTCTTGAATCCCCGGGCACCCACAGGGACCCAGCCGGCAAAGCGAGCTGGTTCTCCTGCTCTCCCGGGAAGGAGAGACATCTCCGCCCCGCACCCGGTGAAAGAGAGAGCGGGGCTCGGGGAAAGAGCGGGAGAGGGAACGAGGCGGGGAGAGAACAACAGAGAAGGTACCCACCATCTCGTTCCTGCGTGGCTCCTCCGTGGCCAAGGGGGGCTGGAGGAGCCAGGGTCCAGGGTCCAGGGGCCCCCTGCTCCAGGTCTGGAGCTGCCTCCTCCTCTTTGTTCGCGGACACTGCAGCAGCAGCGGTGGAGGGAAGGGGGGTGCGACGGCAACAGCAGATGCAGCTGATGCCGCCCCAGCCCCGCTGCCTCTCTGTGTGTGTGCGTCTGTCTGTCTGTCTGTCTGTCTGTCTCTGACGACGCGGTGGCACAGCGGAGACTCTGCTGCGCCCCCTGCACCCACCCACACATACACACGCCCGCGCGCGCGCCACCTCCCACTTTCCCAACCAAGAAGAAGGGAGAAGGGAGGAGGCAGCACCTCAGCGCCGGGGCACCAAGAGCCCGGAGGCCAGCCCCGCCTGGCCGTGAGCACACAGCGCCTCCCCTCGGCGCCTAGCGCGGCCCGGGTGGGGGGTGGGGGGCAGCTCGCCAGCTGCAGCCGCCGCTACTGCTGCCCCTCCTGCCGCTCCCCGCCCCTCCAGCAGAGCAGGCTTCTGCCTTCCCCCTACAGGGAAGAAAATTGGAGGGGTTCAGGATGGTGCAGCTTACCCAACCCGGCTAATCTTAGGATGCATAGGCCATTTCAAAGACTCTGAACCCAAGGGACAGTTCAGGGCGAGAATTTTCAAGCAGGCTAGTCAATGAACATTTATTAAGTGCTAACTACATGCTAAGCGCTGAGGATACAAAGGAAAGTATAAACAGGGGTTCCTGCCCTCAAGCAGTTCACTTTCTAATGAGGACTACATGCAAACAACTATGTACATACTAGATATATACAACGGAATGGGGGCAATATATACATACAAGGTATGGGGGGGGACTGGGAAAGTCTATAAGGACTCTGACTTAACCCTTAGTCATTAAGCTCTTCCTGTGTGCCAAGCATTGGGCTAAGCCCTAAAGATACAAAGAAAAGCCAAGAGATCTCAAGGAGCTCACGCTGTAATGGTAGAAAAACATGCAAAGGACTAGGTAGGCACTTAATAGATACAGAATAGATGGAATGTAATCCCGGAGGAAAGGCGTCAGCAGGGGGGATGCAGGAGGGACCTGGAAAGGCCTCTTGCAGAAGATGGGATTTGAGACAATAATAATTACATACAAACTAGATACATACACTGGGATGTCTTAGAGGATGTCACTAGCAGTAGGGGGTGAGAATCAGGAGGTGGCCTCTTGTAGAAGGTGAGATATGAGCTGAGTCTTGAAGGACTCTGGCATGTCCCTCAGTCAACAAGTGTGTGCCAGATTCTGTATCAGGGGATACAAAGAAAAGCAAAGACGTGCCTTCAGCAAGCTCACATTTTAATATGGGAGACAACATGCAAATCACTACATATATGCAAGATATATATGCAAGACATAAATGGGAGGTGATTTCAGAGAGAAGACACTAGCAACGGTGAGATCGGAAAAAGCATCTTTAAGCTGAGTCTTGAAGGACTCCAGCGTGTCTGGAGGGCCCGGTTCAGAGACACCACCATGCCTTGGAATGGTAGGGAGAAGTTCTACGCTAAAGGCTTTAGGGTGAGGATCCCAATATAGATTTGGAAGAAGGCTGTCTGCAGAAGGACCCAGCGGTGCAAAGGCAGAGGTGGAAGCGAGATAAGTCAATGCCTTCGGACAGATGCCAGGAGACCGTGGAATGCCTAGGGACCATCAACGGGCCGCACCAGCCCCTCTTCCTGCAAGAGCCCAGGAGCTGATCTGCTAGACTCCTAGGTTTGGATAGTGGGAGGACTGTCGGGAGCCGCCCTAAAGAGCGAGATGGGAGTCTAATTCCAGCCTTGCTGGGCGGTCTTAAATTGTCCGGCCCCCAGGAAACTGAGGGGGGGAAGGGGGAGGGGGAAAGAGTGACTCCATTGGTCAGCGAGGAGGAAACGTGGCACACTATTTTAATATAAACCAGTTAGTTCCTAGAGCCCTTGCTCGCTGCAGTATTCCTGGGGCCACACCCCCACCCTCAACCTTTCCTTCCCATCCATTTACTTCCCCATCTAACACGCGCACGCATACGCGCACAGGCGCGCGCGCGCAGGGGCACGCATAAGCACAAATACACACCTGGGGTGGAGGATCTTGGATCTATACAGGTACACAAGCGGCATCTGTGGGGTTAAAAACCAGAAACGTGAAAGGTACGCCCTTCCATGCGGCCCAGAAAGTGTAGAGTTCCGACCAGTACAGTGGGGGGGGGGAAGGACGGGACGAGGAGGGAATCTGGCAAACAGGTTCCGTTGCTTCCAAGCCAAGGAAGCAGCTTTCTGCATTCTTTGTTTTAGGTGGCCCCCTGAACACACCTGTTAGACCGCCTCCCCATCCAGCGCAAGAGAAGGAGGCGGGGAGGGGATGCGCAAATGAATGGGCAAATAGCCTTTAGTACGGAGGCAGGAGTTGGGGACGAGGGAGAAGGGGATTCCTTCATCCTATCAACTTCAAAACAGAACGATTCTGTTTGGGATTGCTCAACCCAAGGACTTTTCGGAATCAGCATCCCATGAATTAAGGATTAAATAGTGGAGTACAGAGACTAGGAAAAGAGCCACTCCAATCCACTCAGCCACCCAAGTGATTTTCCTAAAGTGCACGTCCTACCTAGTCACACCGCCACCACTGCCGATCAATCAACTCTAGGGATTACCTGTGGCGTTCAGAATCAAATATAAAGTCCTTTCTCTGGCATTAAAAGCCCTTCATAACCTAGCCCTCTCCTACCTTTCCAGTCTTTTTCACCTTACTCCTCTCCATACCATCTTCCATTTAGTGACACTGGCTTCCATCTAGTGACACTGTTCCTGGCTTCAGGAATTTTCTCTGCCTTCCCCCGTATCTGGAATAACTCTTCCTTCCTCATCTCTGCCTACTGGCTTCCCCGGATTTCTTTAAGTCCCAACTGAAATCTACAGGACGCCTTTCCCTACCCCTTGCAGGAATGGGGAACCTTCAGCCTCAAGGCCACATATGGCTTTCAGCTTTTTGACTGAATCTAAGTTTTACAGAACAAATCCTTTTATTAAGATTTGTTCCGTGAAGTGTGGATTTGGTCCGGGGGTAGTACTTGAGGACCTTGAGGGCTATGTGTGGCCTTGAGACTTCATCCCCATCGGTGTATATAGTGCCATACCTCTTGCGATTATTTCCTTTTTACCTTGTATATAGCTTATTTGTGCATATTTGGTTGCTTGTCTCCCAGTTAGATTGTCAGTGACTTGAGGGCAGGGACTTTTTTTTTTTGCTTCTTCTTTACCCCAGTGCTTAGTACAGTACCTGGAACATACTAGTTGTGTAATAACTGTTTTTTGACTGACAACAGGAGGAGCCAGCTTCTGTTAAAGGTCACCCCAGAACCAGATTTATAGTAGAAGATGGCTTATTCTCTTTTTAATCTAAATTTGGATCAATACTTTTTTTCTTCCTAAAAGTTAGTCAGAAATCAATAAACAGTTTGTAAAAGTGATTTATTGCCAGAGATGAAGGAAGCTAATTTCTTGGAGATAATTGGATAGATTGAAACTTAGCTCCCCCAGTTAGGAAAAAGGAAGGAAAGAAATAAGCAATTATTAAGCACCTACTATGTAGCAGGCACAGTGCTAAGATCTGGTGATATAAAGTAAGGTGACAGTCCCAGCTCTCCAGGATCTCACAGTCTCATAACCCAAAGGGAAAACTAGGGAAGGGGGAGACACAGGATGAGATTTCCCTTCCCTTCTTTCCTACAGATTGAACATGAAGAAAAGTATCAACTTATTTTTCTGACCATGGTATGATTTACTTAAAGGATTGTATATCTTTAAGATGGTGCCTCATTGTGTGACCTGCTGCTATTGGTGGCTGAGATTCACTTAGTTCCTTTCCTCCCAAGACTTCAAAGCACTTTAATAGATATTATCTTCACATCTCTGTGAAGTAGTAGGTAAGAACAGATATAATTATCCTCATTTTACAGATGGAAAAAAAAAGAGAGACAGATTAGGTTATGCGCTCTGAAATGGAGCCCCAGTCTCTGAATGCCCATTCTTTTCATTAGACTAAACTATCGTGAGTATATATACGGCATGGTACAGTGGAAAGGACACTGGAGTCAGAGTCAGAGGACTTGGATTCAAATATTGCCTCTGTGACTACCTGGGGCATGTCACTTCCCTCAATCTCAGTTTCCTCTTCTGTAAAATGAAGGGGTTGTTCCAACTGGTCTCTATGTCTGATTCTATAAACAAAAAAATAATCCGCATACAGGTATTGCATAGATACTAACTAAATCATGTTGATGTGATTTTGTTGTTTTAAAGAACCAAAAATAAAGTCATTCATCAGTTAAGAAACATCTGAACAAGTTATGCACCATGCACATAAATAGAAGATTGCTATACTGTAAGAAATGAGGACTGTGAAGAATTCTGAGATGTGTGGCAAGGCATAGGAACTAGTGCACAGTAAGGTGATGTGAACTAAGAAGACAATATACTCAACAACTGCACCATTGTAGAAGGAAAAACAACAATGAAAACAAAACTGAATGGTGCTTAGTTATGGTAACTGACGTTGTCCTGGGGGGAAGAGAACGGAACTTAGCTCTCCTACTTTATGCAGAGATGGATCCCGGATTGTGGGTGATTTAGTCAGTTGCTTAGTTTGGCTGAACTGCCTTTCCCCACTTCTCTTTCTTCTTTTGTTGGCACATAGTAAGTGCTTAATAAATGCTTTGTTACTGACTGACTTATCATAAGGGATGGCTCCCTGGAAGGAGTGGAGGGAAAGATTATATTGGGATATGAAGGTGATGTTCGACAAAAGATATCAAAAACAATTTTTGTAAATTTATAGAAAGAAAAACATGTTGATAAGCTACACAGTGACCCTTCTCTGTCATACTTCCACACGTGCAGACCTTGCTAGCCCAGTTATGCCGTGGAAGTGTTGGGGATCTGTAAGGATGTAGAGGGCCACAGGCTGTTCATGAGGTCTCACTGATGGGCAGAGGCCCCTCTCTGGTGACTATCTGTGAGCAAAGGTCGCCTGGTGCGGTGCTCCATTGTATGGATCTTTACAATCTTTAACTCCCTAGTTATTGTATGGTCATTAGCAGTCTATTCTGGGATTGGAGTCAGATAAGTGCACGGGACTTGCATGTACTGTGGTTGAGCACAGCATGGGCTATATGTCGTTGTAACTTGAGAAAGAGTTCCTGTTATTTTACTGTATAAGTAAGTGCTTTGCTAAAAATAAACGGAGTTGCTTCCATCTTGTCTCCCGCCTCATCAATGCGCATTCAAGATAGAAAATCAAGCTGGTCTTGATTCATCAGGTGATTGGGAAATCCTAGGCCCTATGTAGGCTCTATAGCCAAGTGAGCTAGTTGTACA